CACCCCACTGAGGTCCCTCTCCTCCCCAGGCTCCGGCCCCGAATCTTCAAGCACTTCCCAACCTGGAGCTGCCAACTCCCCCCCCCCTTTGCTGGTGGCCAGGGGGAGGGGCAAAGAGAGAAGGGAACACAGCGCACAGGGTGCTAAAAATACAAAAGAACCACTGTGTCTAAATATTAAACACTAAATGTAACAAAATTAAACTGTAAACATTATTTAGAATAAAGTATTTTCAATTGAAAATTGAGACTGCCAGGAGATCAAATCAGTCGATCCTAAAAGAAATCAACCCTGACTGTTCCCTGGAAGGCCAGACACTGAAGCTGAAACTCAAATACTTTGGCCACCAAATGAGAAGGGAGCACTCACTGGGGAAGACCCTGACGCTGGGAAAGACTGAAGGTCAAAGAAGAAAGAGACAGCAAAGGATGAGAGGGTTAGACAGTGTCATTGAGGCAACGAATGAAATTAAACAAACTCCAGAAGACAGGAGGAACTGGCGTGATGTGGTCCATGGGGGTCGCGAAGCATCGGACTTGACTGTGCAACTGAACAACAACAAAATTTTCAATTCTATTTTTTGCTGTTTGTATTATTTTATATATAGTTTATACTCCCCACTTTGCGGGGAGGGCGGGGTATAAATCTTAATAAATAAATAAAAAAATAAATAAATACTGTATAATGTGGATTGGATTACCAGATGTGATCCGTGGGGTCGCGAAGAGTCAGACTCGACAGTGCAACTGAACAACAACAAAAACAAACCATTTCAAAGGAGAAAACAGACACACACAAACATCAACATTTTTTAAAATCCAAGCCAAGAAACGTCAGTTTGCTCCACAAAGAAATATACACTAGCAGCCAAAACAATAAAAATAAAAATCACTGCTCTGGCAACACCAGTTAATCTTCAGCTTTTGAAACCATGTGACGGAAGATGACGCATTCCCTCACAAGAAAATTAAGGCAATGAGATGACATTTTGTAGTCAGACACTTGTTAGGAGGAGCTTTTAATACAAGTGGTTCTATTTGCACCTTTCTTGGGGTGGAGGTAGATGAAGCAGCTCTCGAGCACGCAAGCAGATTAAGTGTAACCACCAGCCACAATAGGCGAAAGGTTAAGCGGCAAGACAGTAAGAGAATAAACGAGTTAAAAGTAGAATTCCTGTTTGCTCCTGGAAAACGTATTTACAGTAAAGTGGTACATTCCCATAAACCCAAAACTCATATTCATCACCATTTAAAAGGGGGAGGGGGTCTGACACAGGGTTACCAGCCCTCAGGTAGGACCTAGAGAGAAGAAGAAGAAGAGGAGGAGGAGGAGGAGGAGGA